CCCGCGAGGCGCCAAGATAAGGAAAAGTCTAGCGATAATTACCAGTGCGCACTAGCTCTAAGTGAACAGTTATATTTGTAAAGTATAACAGTGTTTCATTCTCTTCATATTCAAATCAACCTAACAAAGACAAACCTATACTAAAACTCGTCGATTACCGAAGTACTTCGGTAGGATCAGTAGCATGTAGTGCGATTGCATGCTACTGACGCCGGGAAGCTGTTTACTTCAAGAAATGTCATCCCGAAGAATCAACAGGCAGCGACAGCAACGGCATTGGATCATGATCATCTGCTCCCGTCAACCTGACGCAGAATGTATGGCAAATATACACAACCAGCTCGGTCAAAAAGGCCGAACCCTGACGTCTCGACCCTGATGCTAATAGAAGGGTAAGGCAAAAGACAGCGTCTTGCAATAGTAATACTAGTGTATATACAGTTTCCCACCAAGAATCAATTCAGTCTCTGTGGATATAGAAGCGAGCAAGGTAAGACACTACGGAGCTGCGGGCACGATCCACACACCACAGCGGTCAGGCGAGTACTGAGAATCTCTTAATCTGAACGTAGAAAGTTAATGCAATTATTGCCCACTTACCTAAACGCAATTACAAAATTAAATCTTTTATTTTCAAAATGTTTAAATTTTACTCAATTTTCAGTTTCAAACATGACGACGATTTATTTCAATGAATAATTTCCATGCATTCAGAGGAATGGGATTTGATATATACATATAGTCCACTAATTGTCAACTGACTTCTCCAAAACAAAAGCCAACATGAGAATAACGGAATGTCACTATCAAATATTTGCATTTTTCAGTCAAAATAGAAACTGTTTCACTGCTTTTGAATTTTTTCGAGTTCCTGTCCGTCAAAGAAACCCACAGGAACCTCACACATGGCTGCATAGATTTCTTTCAATTTCTAAATGCGTTAGAAGTAAGTAATAGAGATAACTCAGTTGGGGTCCGTCGTCCTCTCCTGTTATGCAAGGTGGGAGTGCGGATTCCGAAAAGGCGCACGTGGGAGTGGACTCGACAGCTAGTCCACAGTCCACATGCTCGATATGGGGAGCCACACATAGGGCATGAATCAGCAGGAATGGGGGAGGGTGTTTAGAGTGGGAGTCGATGAAATTTTAACGTGGGGAAATAATGATCCAGGGGTGGATTTGGGGTCACTAGCCGAATATGCACTGGCAAATCTTCTATGTAAAGAAGATCCTATTGATTACAAAAACTATAAATGATGTATTTGATTGTTTTCTTATGTAAATGTTTAGAATATCTAAAACGTATACACAAGTATAACCTTACCTACCCTCATAAAGAAGTATGTCCTTGTTTATATTTCTAAAAGTTGAAAATTGTAATAGTACAAAACATAATAAAACGTATTATTATGAAATGAAAAGATTTTTTTCAGGAATTTGGTTCATATTTACTGCCTATGTAACTTTTATTAGCTTGTTTACGTGCAAATATTTGTCATGGTTATTTTGTATGTTATAGAAAAATGCAATGAAGGTCGAAGATGCAAATTTTTCTTTTAAAGGGGGTCGATGCGAGGCAAAAGTTGAAAAAGCCTCTTCTTCGCGAACAGGTAGATCCCGGAAAGAATATTTATTAATTGATGCATTCGGGCACTCCTACTGTTATGGTAATTAATGCAGTGAATATTTTATCCCGGGGGTATGTCTGTTTCTTTCCCTCTCAATGGTGAGATTCCGGCACCGATCTACAAGTCGACTTGCGAGGATTTCCCTCTTCCAGGTATCTCCCACCAGCGGGGCACTTCCGCTCAGCCGGGCCAAGCTTTAAGCTCCCGACCGACCAGGAGTGCGTGTAAGTGTAATTATATGTACGTAAGGGGTTAGGATAGGAAAAGAAAGAGGAAGGAAAGATCGCGCGCGGTCCGTGGCCTGTTTGTTTCGGTACTCGGTTAAGAGTCGGACGGTATTTAATGAAACAAGCACAGAAAACTGCTAATGAGAACAGCCGGCCGCTGGAATTTTGCTCTAGACAGCTGCTGAATTCTGCCTGATTGTTGTGGGAATGCTGATGAGTAAGGTGCGGATTTGTAGGCACGAAAAACTATAGGCATAGGCAAGCAAAATAGGCATTTAAAAACGTAAAATAGGCATTTAAAAATGCACTATATTTTTTGTTCATATTTATATACCTCTCAAGAATGTGTATGAAGAAAACAAGACAGTTACCTTAGTGGAATGATTGCTTTCATAATTGTTGTGACAAATCCTCGTAGAAAATTTTTCCACCATTGTTGGGCATTTCGGACAAAAATGGCTGAATCTCAGTAGCCACCGTTTTATTAGATGCAACCTATTACTCCAATGTTGCACACCAATGCTAGTGATATTTTCCTTCTCATTTAATTGAAACATAATTAAAAATATTGTTTGATTTATTTTAATTGCAATGCATAACACAAATGTTGTAACCAGGGGTAATACAACATCACACACTCTCTCCTATTACATCTAATGTATATTTCCAAATTTACAATTTACAAAAATTCAGAGAGTTCGACAAAAATGAGACCTGCGCCATTTTTTAAACGTCCCTTGTTCTATTCGTAGAAAAAAAATACAAGGAAAAAATGGAAGGAAAATTTTGCAGCGGTTTTAGTGATTTTTTTAATAATTTCCATTAATTTCAAGCAGAAATTCAGCACAACTCATGCCCACTCACCTAAAAGAAATATACATGACCTTTTTTTAAAGATCTTATTTTTTAGAACTGATTTCATTTACGACAAAAAATTCTGTATTTAGTATTGTACTTTTCCAATGTTCACTTTTTGCAATTTTCGAAAATACAGAGAGTTTGTAAAAAATAGGACCGGCACCAATTTTTATACTGTCATTTGATACATACAAGAAAAAAATTGAAGCAATTTTACAGAAAAAAAAATTGTTTGAAAATTGAAAGTAAAAAATAATGTGACTACCACCAATGATTATTTTCATAATATGAAATACCCGCACTGAAGTGGCACTTATAAATGTGTCGATTACTGTTCGATTTCTTTCTACTCTGCAGTATAAAAACAAAAAAACACTTCCATTTAAAAAATTCGATTAAGAATAATTGCATTTTGATCAAAAAAAGTACGAGAGGAGGCAACATTTAGGCATTTAAACACAGAATAGGCATTTAAACACAAATCAGGCATTTATTAGTGAAATACGCATTTATAGGCACTATAAAATTCACATATAATACTCCTACTGACTTAAAATAAATGCGTAACCCAAAAGATTCCGTTTTCCATTGAAGGTAAAAAGGGACAAAAATCCAAAGCTTAGTGATGAGTTGACATTATTTCGTCCTACACCAATGTAGCTATTGTGGCCACTGTCGGGTCTAAAACCCTAGGCCCAGGCGGTAAGTGTCGCGACGGCAATACTTTCTGTGAGCAGAAGGGATGGGCCAGAGGTGTAAAATCGTTTAATAAAATGTATCTCATGTACAAATGTATAGGTATTCTTCTCTTTATTTACGTTTAAGGAAGAACAGGAATGGCTTAAATCATTCTAACATCCAAAGTTGCTTACATTTGCAAATGCAAGTTTGCTGTGCAGACAATACATACAATGTGAAACAAAGATTCTCTTCCAGGTAAAAAAAAATCATGTTGTCATCATCTTTCCTCTGCATTCTTATCAGACTCCTTTCGCAGCTGCAAAAATAATATGGATCATCGTATTACAAAATATTTCATAAAAATACAACGTCTGCCTCCTAAACTTGTCATTAAACTTTGTGTAACGGATTCACAAAATAGTTCAGTCCAAAGTATTTACTTATTTCAATTTCTGAAGTTTGACAGATTGCACTGAAACTCTGTTATATGGAATTCGAAGTGTACAGTGGATTTTATATTTGTTATTATTTTTATTTTCTTATTATCATAATGCTACTATGTAAAATTAGTATAAGTAAAAAGGTTACTATGAAAGTCCTAAAAACTATGTATTGTACATTAGGTACTTTACATCATACAACCGTCTTCCAATCTATCGAAGTTATGAGAAAAGATTAAGTACGTGAAAGCATAATATAAGAAAATGTAAATAGCAGCGAAAACGTATAGGAACTAGATAGACGGAAAAGTAATAACATAAACTAACAAGAGGTGCCCTAAGTCACTTACTATGCGATTCACATCTTAGCAAATGCTTGAAAAATAAAACTAGTAATGCATTATTCACAGCATCATTTATGATGGTTCAGAACTTAAGCCACTTCCGGATTAGCAGAAAAGAAAGTTGATATTCAGGGAAACTGGCTTATTCAGAGGGTCTGCAGATGTATCAGAAAAGTGATTAGGAAACCAGTAGTTAGTAGATCTGAATATGTACTGATAGAAGAAATTAAAAAGAGGCTATGAGCTCATTACTGTCTACGGACATGAGTAAATGTAGGAATCATACTTTCTTGGTGACAGATGGTAGAGAAAAAGAAATTTACCCCTGTTACGTAGAAGAGTGGGTAATGTTGGAAAAGAGTTTCAACGGAGAAAGACTGACGTAGTACTCAAGAAGTAGGAAGGAAGAAGGAGAAGATATATAATTATGATATCGTTAACACTACCGAATTATCTGTCAATTTTATTGTCGTAATTGGTAAGAATATTGTAAGAATTTGGTAATAAAATATCAAAGAATTATCGTGTCAAATATGTGTCAGTATATATTTAAATTAAATAAAAGACGTGAATTTGGGTGTAATTACCTTTAATTTTCATCAGGCACTGCATGAGCACTGGCCCCGTCTCACACCTGTCCGTTGTCTTCACTGGAAGAACAATTTTCAATCAGTAATTAAAAACAGAAAAGGGTGTTGACGCATGATAGGAATGGGAAGAGAAATATAACTACATCACATGAACAAATAAACTATCGAGTGCTATTTAAAAAGAACACTAGAGACCAGCGGAGTTAGCTCAGGATTGCCACTACAACGACTGTGATCGAAGGGTCCTAAGGTTCGTGTCCCGACGGTGGCGATTTTCTTTACACTACTTGTCATGACGATCGACTTAAGAAGGCGGATGGAATCAGCAACCAGGTGAAAACTGGACGTTCTGAAGTGAAGGAGTAAATGATAGAGAGAGCATTTCAGTTGAAATGGCGTAACTTGGTGGAGAATTTGAAAGTAAGTAATTCAATGTGATATTTGAGGTATACTTGATTAAGGACAATACTACGGAAAAGTATATGGACAAGACATTTGGGGAGTCGATTTAGTGAATTGTACTTATAGTAATTGGACATAAAGAAAGCTTTTGGTTATTCGAAATACAAGAAGGTAAATCTAGATACTGTTTTTGAAATGTGTTGAATTGATTAAATGTTGTATTATTCTTTTCAGTTTGCAAACAATAGTGCCAACCTTTTTGGTTATTATTAAGAATAATGTTCTCTTTTATTTTGAAAAAGAAAGCGTTTTGATTTAATATTCAACTAAGTTACCGTATTCAAATGTATGGTGTCTTAAATAAATAATAATTAAATGAACATTTTTATTTTCCACATTAAGTAATAATAATTACAGTATTTTACTTTTAATGGCAAAGTAGGTAAACATCTCACTAGATCAAATACATCCGTTATTTGGAGAAAAAGTCTAGCGTGATCTGATCTGTTCTGATCGATCGTTTTCTGTTCTCCTACTAGTACCAGGAGAATTCGAGGACTGTTCCCCAAACGGACCACGAACAGCGCGCCATCTTTGCTTCCTCAGCCTTGCCCTCTGCTCGATGTTTCTTTCGTGATTCGCAATTTCATATCATTTCCTTAATTACAGACGTTTCCATATGCTTAACCTACCCATAAATAAATTAACATTTTTTCATGAAACAACTTCGGCTTCCCATTCGGCAATATGATCTCGAACTTTGTTTTAAAATAAGTTTTTTTAGTTTTTTTAGCTGTAATTTCACCACACGTCGAGATTAATGTCTATTAGTGCTGCACAAATGAAACATATTGGTGCAGATGAAAATACACCTCCCAGTTTGCACAATTCTGTGTGATAGAAGCTTTGGAGCCGAATCTTGGTAAATACTACAGAGGTATGATGAGATGGTGTCGTCCTGGGGATCATTAAAGTGGTTGAAATTTAGGAGATTTTTTGGAAGAAGATCCTTTGGTATTTTAGAGTTCACTGAAAAATGTCTGCAGAATTTTCATTACGTTTTTGCTAGGGTGGGCAAAAGCGTATTTATAATTACGGTATAATTCCTATTCTCATTAAAACCTCTGTAACATGAAAATATCAAAAGTTATAATATTACTCCAACCTCTCTAATATTAAAGCCAAAGATTTCGTTCTCAAAGCAAAGAAACCATCTTTCTGAGATCTTTAAACGATCGCATGTAAAATTTATTTAATATTGATATAAGGTCCCAAAACCAGCATTTCCACCACCCCAAAGCCAGAATTTCTTGATAGAATCCATTACAACAGAACATTTATAATTTGAGAAGATATACAATATTTAATTTCTGTGGTTGCATAGACTTCCGCCGACGGAGTTTGTGTTGTCTAGGCTCTTCGGGACGAGCCGCGTCGCTGACATGGTGGCTAACGTTTCGGCCAACGTATTGCTGAAAGCGCAGTACGCTCTGAGGAAGAACACAATACGCTCGCCGAAACGTTAGCCACCACGGCAGTGATTCGGTTCGTCCCGGATAGCCTAGATATTATTTAATTTCCGATTTCAGACACATTTAAGTGAACGGTGATTCTAGCTAGTTTCGTATACAGATATAATTGCAAGGATTCAGCTAGTTCTTTTTCTACATATATAATGACAAGAATTCTGCTACTTCTGTTTTATACAGATATAATCGCAAAGATTCTGCTAGTTCTTTTTGTACAGATATAATCGCAAAGATTAACCTAGTTCTTTTTTACAGATATACTTGCAAGAATTCTGCTACTTTTTTTATAGAGATATCATCGCAAAGATTCAGCTACTTCTTTTTGTACAGATAAAATTGCAAAAATTCTGCTAGTTCTTTTTTGTGCAGATAATTGCTATTTGAAGTGCAAATGTGCATGTCACGTGTCACTGTTCGCTCCCACCTTCCGCTCCACACGTGTCGAGGACTTCTCTCATTGTGGCCAGCACCTCCCCAGCGAAACACTGCTCCGCCAGTTCCTTCGCGTTCTCCGGGGAGAACTCGCCGTTCACTATCTGCAAACAAAATGGCGGCTCAGTTAACCCTAGGATGCATGTATCCGGAAAACTATATGAATGCTTATGCAGGACCTTTGTGTTTCCGTGCAAAAGTTGTTCTTAATACCTTCATTTCTGAATCATTTCAATAAAAGACAACTCTTAATGTTCAACAAATTATTATTTATTTAAACAACTATTAATAGGGCCTTACATAACAATTAATAGGTTCTTGAAAGCCCTGCATAAGCATTGACATAAGCATTGACGATTTTCTTTGTCTGTGACTAAAATGAAAGTAGGGAGATAGAAGAAAGATTACATGGTGAGTAAGCTCGCAGAAATGCAGATATGCAGAGTAAAAAAAAAATTAAAAAAAGTTAGGGACGTGGAGGCCCTGCATGTATGAGGAGTAACTAATCAACGCGCACATTGTCCATTGCTGGGAAAAATTAAGCGTTTACAAATATGCCTTACACCCCTTACATCTAACCCTACACCACTTAAGTCGTCGATGAAATTTTGCAGAGAGTCAATGATGATCAAAGGAGTCATAGCCTAATATGAACCAGCGCCCTGTCAGGAAAGTAGAGAGTTCAATGATTAATAAAATATCAATGAATTTAATTAATGTTTTCTGATATGAAGCAAAATGTATAATAATAAATTAGAAAGTCGCTCCAGTTCTTTTCTATCTGTCTCTTGTCCTTAGGAATTAAGTAATTAGGATGTTTAGAGAACTAAAGAAATTATAACTATTCATTAACAAAAATACTCTGTCGCTCCAGAAAGTACTCTCTGCAATAGGACTGAAGTAATGTTATAACCAATTCTTCAAAAACACTCAACAGTTTGTAATCATTGCATTTCAGTCAAGATTAGAAACTCGGTTGTTCATAGGGGGAACAATCATCAATAATTGAAAAATCGATATTTTTACGAGAATATTGGCGTACGAAATTCTTATCTTTCAATCTTCCTTGTGTGGTTCTTAGTGTCACTATTACATACAGATTATGCATGCTGTATGTTCTAGAGATGTGAGGATGTAGAGGTGTATGTTATAGAGTATGTAAGGGGTCGATGAAGCAAACATTCGATTAAAAAGGATCGACGAAAGAAAAAAGTTGGGAATCCCTGATCTATACCCAAGGTAGTATGAAATTTATAACAAGAAAAGTTTACTCGAAATAGGCAAACAGTGTCTGAACTCACCACTGTAGCTTTCTCCATCATGCAGCCCATGTAGCAACGCCCCTCTTGCGTGTCCACGCCCTCACCCTTCCACACAGCGGTCGGGTCGCCTGCAACGGAAACCTCGACTCACAGCGCTGCCAGCTAAGCAATAGGTGGGGCAACGACAATAGTATTACACGCGCGTTTTCTTGATATTGTGACGTCATATAAGTCGCCTTGTACAAACGTACCAAATATCAGCCACGTGCATTTCATGCTCATGGACAGCGCTGGCGGAAGAGACGCCGGGCTGAACAATGGCAAACCTAGGGAGCGGAAGGGAAGGGGTGGTGTGTCGTGCCGTGGGTGGCCACTTGTGAACCCCGTAGACAGACTAGCTGTGGAAACGCGTCGCAGAAACTGCGAGATGACGGTTCCGTTAGCCGGCCCAGAAGGTAATATAAACGGACCCAGGACCTAAACACCTTCTGATTCTTGGGCGCGTCGGTAGGAAGTCGTGTGGGTTGTGCGCGGCGCTGCATTTCAATGCGTAGGCTACTGAGGCAGAGAACTGAAGCCGGCATTCTACGTTGAGACGGGAGGTGCGGCATACTCGCTTGTATGCTCATGTAGGCTACTGGTGCATCACACCGAATATGATATCGAATTATGAGGCCAGCGGTGGTGGTAACTAGGGAACATTCCTTCTAGTAACGGGTCAATATTGTTTATTGTAATTATTGTACATAGTATTCAGGTGTTTGAGCATTTTTTTCAAATAAATACTTAATAATTTACAAACCGTTCACGTCTGCGATTTATTGCCCCGGCAAAGACGCCACAATATTCCACAGCTGGGGGGGGGGGAGTGCGGAGAGAGGAGGGCTCTGGCTACGTCACGGCTTCACAAGGCGTACCAACTGTGGGCATCAACTTAACACCCCAAAGTGTGCTATGATCAATGCTATGATTGCTTTAAAAGTACGAGGGTTTTGTTGCCAGCATTGTAAATTGGTACGTGCCGTTCAAGAGTCAAACTTAAGTATCTCAACGTGCCGTGCTATTCAGAGCTGGATAGGACCAGGGAGCTTGTGTATCAAGAAAACTTGCGCGAGTAATAGTTTCCATTGCCTCATAGTGGCCACTTGGATTTGTCGTGCTGATCATAGGTAATACCACAAGTGCTTGATAAATTGTTTACATATCTCTGGGGATTTATCTGAGAATTTCCAAAGCATGAGTGATATATAATAGGACTATTCTACGAATGAAGTTATGTCCAACAAAGCTCCAAAATGCGCCAAATATCGAGAATAACTTAAAGCTACGTTAAAAATCAAAGAAGTAATGCTATAGTACATACGCGGTTTATTGCACATCGAAATTGCGATCGATGTATACCGCCTCCTAAGATGGATTTATTATTGGCTAGAAAGGAGAAGCTGCAAGAAAGGTCGGATAGAAAAAGCGATAAACGTTTTGAGATGCACTGCCCTGGTTGGGGCATTTTTTATGATTAGATAAACACTAATGGTTTTAGTTTCACAAGTGGACTAATCGATACAAAATTAAAAAGTGTATGTGTTATATGGGGAGAAGAGGAATCTGCGCAGTTTTCTTTTTAGATCTAGAAACGCCTCTTCAATATTTTACATAGATGTATAAGTATACTATGTAAGTTGTCCTGTACAAAGTGGAGTAAAAGTACTAACATACGTTATTACCAACATTAAAATATAAATGTTTTCATTCCCAAGTGGTACAGAACTCATTTGCATTACTTAGAAGGCATTGTACCTCAAAGAATTGAAATCCCTGATTTTTCGATAAACAGTAAAATCGGTTTTAAAGAAGAGTACACAAATAATAAATATTAGGGTCAGTCAAATGAAAACGTGACAAATGGGAGAAAAGTAAGTAAGGTGTTGATTATTTCGAAAGTAATTGTCATAACAATTTACAAATTTTTCTTTATGTGAGGGAAGATGGTCATTGCGATAGAAACGTGTTGGCAGATGTTAAGTTAATCTGTTGTGCTTTATGTAATAATGATGCAGTTAGCAAATTGTTAGTTTATTTTATGGAGCGGAACACTTAATATACCAAGGCGTCCTGCTTTTCGTCCGAAGTTGACAACCATGAATATCTTGAGGGCTCCCAAAATTTGAAAATCGCATGAGGAGAGATCTGGATTGTATGACAGCTTCCTAGCGGAATTTCTGCACCGTAGTCGAAACAACCTTGGCAACATGTGTTTGGGCATAATCGGGCAACAGATTAATGTCGTATATCATCTTTCTAGGGCGTTTGGACTTGATGACGCAATTTGTGCCAAATTTTCACTGTGTTCGTCACACACAATGGACGTTCTGGCGAGGATTTCACCTCCTGTCTCTCCGTACGCTGTCAAAATAAACGCACTACTCGATTTATACCTCTTTCCTGGCCAGCGTTGTGATGTTGGTCGCGCACAGACTCGCTGATCTTACTTAGAGCTCTAACTGACTGACAAACGGCAGAGCGGTGAACGTTATCACTGTTTCTTCCTGGCTCCTAATAGCGGGCACACATCTATCGACACTTCCAACTTCCGCGCCTTGCTCGATTTATAGTATGTCTCGATTTCATTTGACTGACCCTCATACTATGAAAATTTCTAATTGAGAACCCAGGCCAAACCCCCTACAAACTTAGGGTTTTTACCACATTATATCCCATTCCCACGCCTCAGCCTCTTTTCAAAATTAGCACCAATATTTAGTGGCGCCATTAACAGTAAAACTGGAGGGAAATACGCACATGAAACATGGCGCCTACTACGCCATCTTCTCCCACGTCCAGAAAGCATATAAGACCTTCTATGAGCCGGTAATTTACAGAGGGCTATGGAAGTGAGGAAACAAATGCCGAAAGACTGTAAATAAAGCATGGAGCTAGGAATACAGGGAGATGACATACAGGAGTTGACATCAATTGTATTTCTGACCATCTACAAACAGCAAACTTTAGGACCTGCTCTTTTGACTTCAGATGAGATTTTTTATGTAAGGAATATTTATGTAAGAAAAGGGTGAAATAAAAAAGTAATAGTAGAGTAAGACAACATGTTTTTTTAAACATTTAGTTGGTAAGGAAGCCATATTGTGTCGACACTAATTCCAAGAATATTTCGTAATAATTTGTGTATCACATGCTTCTTGAAAATGTTAGAATTCTTAAGTTTTTATTTATTTGCCACTTTTTGTGAGAGGTCATGTAATAAATCTTTAAGGTAAAAGAAGAATATTTAGCAATGTAATATTTTTGACGTTTTAAAATTGAAGTTTTCACGCACTGAAATTACCCCACAATTTGTAATGAAGCTTCTCCGCTTTAGTTATTATACTTTTCAATATTCCAAAGACTATTAAATTCCATTGATAAATAAGTGCTACTTATTTATTACAGTACTACTCATGGGTATTATAATAGAATTTGGCAGATGTGTTGGGCACACCAATTTGGCGGACTGGCTTCACTGCGAAACACGACAGAGGTTGGTAATGCCACCTCCATGTACTCATAGCTCCATGATAGGAAGGATTCCTAACCACCAGACAACCCTAAGCAGATACTTTCTGCTGCACGTGCTACAAAGGGTATTAAAAAAATTCTAGAATGCCAATTTGACCATCACCTGCTTTGAATCCAGTCTCCTTTACACAAACATCACTCCACTCCTTTTTCTCCGACAAAAACGTTTTCAGATCAGCCTGTAAACATTTAATGAAGACATAGAGAACATTTAAATGATACACAGAACATTAAAACAAAACATTTAAGTGATGCACAGAAAATATTTAACACTTTGAAGCACAGACTTTTAATTTGAATAAAACTAAGACATTCTAACTACACCGAGGTAGTATCAAAACTGCAAGGTTTTAATTTTTTGGCACAATGATTTTTTTATTATGTGTGGTATTAGCGTATTACCACCGTGCACGTCAGTATTAATATGTGCATCATACTAACAATAATAGGAACAGTTTTATGCATTTATGGATTTTAGACATTATTTAGCAATGACATTATACAGAAGGCTAATAAATGACATAAACATTATTATAACAAATTATACGAATGAATTGATTGAATAATGAAACAATAATATAAGAAATGTTTAGAATAAATTATAATTATAAACACACAAACCAATGTTGGTATTACTGATATTAATTTGGACAAAACATTTTTACAACGAATACACACAAATCAATATTATGGTTAATTTCATTTGAGATAATCTTGGAAGCAAGTCTTGTTCATGCTCTTAATTTCTCTGAAAATTGAATTGTGTATGTGATAAACAGCGATGGCAGTAAATTGTTCAATATATAAAACGGAAAAATGAAAATAAAAACAGCTTCATTGACGTCCTTATAATCTTTTCCTTCAAAAAATCTGGAATGAACGCGATGATTTGCTGAAAAAACTCTTATTGCCAGGCCCTGGTAACGAAAAAGTGGATAAATCCAGTTGCTAAATTTAGAAAAAAGCATCTAACACGTGGTGTAGCCAGAATCCATGTTACGTGGGTTCTTAATACCGAAAAATCGAATGACGGCAAAACATGTCTGTCTGTGAACAACGCTAGAGGCTAAACCGTTCAGCCGATTATCTCCAAATTTGATATTCCGTAATCGATGTCTGATGTGGCTGTCCCTTGAATTTGCAACCGATATTTCAATTTTTGGGGATATTTTAATTTTAATTTAATAATAGGGTAATTTATGTGCGAGAATGGCTTATTACACAAACCATTCCTTTCTTTTTCACCTGAAATTCCAGCATTCTTTCATAAGATATTTTTTGTACTGTATTTACATAAAATTACTGGTCGTGAACTAATCTTAATTGCTATCTAAGTGTATCTCATAATAATACTTTACTTGAAGTCCCTGGAACATTCAAAATTTTCAACAAGAAATGGCTTCATCGCTTTTGATTAAATTTTGTTGTTGGATAGTGCGAAGGATGTTTAAGAGAATAGATCAGATCTCATGTTTGTTAAAAACTCTGTGTTTTCGAAAATCGCGAAAAATCAAAATTGTTTCGGCGTCTTCCTACAACAAATATAAAGATAGATATTTTTTCCTTTAATAAAATCTGTTTAGAGATATTGAAGATACATTTTGAAATAAGTCAATAAATACTTTTTGGAAAATTGGTGTCCCTTTTGTGTAATTTTGATTGAAAGTACTGGCTAGAGATTACGTGATGTCTTAGCACTACTAGTTGTTTATTCAACTGGTGAGCGTATGTCTGTCGATTTCAATATTTTTGCTTATATACCCTTTTAACCTGAACATATTTTAAAATGCTCCGGTTAAATTATTTAGTATTTGACAAATCGAATATTAATTACGAGTTCAATGCCAATTACAAACTCTTCCACTTACCGTGGCTCCTGTAAAGAGTACAGCTAACACTAACACTAACACTAACACTGAGGGCGACATCTTGAAACCACAGATAACTCGTCGGAAGCACAAAAATGTCAACAGTGACAAATGCGAAAATGACGATGTGCTTAAGTAGGAATCTTTAAAGTTGGGAAGGGGGAATGCACAAGTAGTTACTAGTGCTTTGCTCCTTGCAATCTGTGTAACCTCCCTATTACTATAATGAGAGGGTTTGTACACGTTCATCACTGTCCTTTTGTGTACCTTTGCATGTCATGCCGCCAGGAAGCGATAAATACACCTCTTCGAATTCATAGAAAGAAGTATACACTACTCAATCCAGAAGCGTGAAGGCGACGTGCAACATGCGTACATTATGAATGACAGAGTCCAAATCGTTTCTGTAGAACAGTGGTATCTCATTTTGGAAATGTCATGCAGGGCGGGAGCTGATGGATGCTTTGTCATGTTACTTTGCTAAAATATGTAGTGGTTTACAAATTACGAATATGTCAGCATCTTTTTGCCAATCTAAGTACTTACTTGCCTGGACCTTCCAAAATAACTCACTATTAGATGTTTGGCATAAGAGGGTAATTTATGTGTGAGAATGGCGTATTACACCAACTGTTACTTACTTTCTTCGCTTACAATTCTAGCAAGTCATTCTTTCTAAAGATGTTTTTATATTATTTATATCGAATTTACATGAAATCGAAGGTCGTGAACAAATCTTATTTGCTCTCTTTGTCTATCTTATAATAATTAGACCGCGAATTTTAGGAACAAACTAGTGGTGCTCCAGAATGGCACAGATTTTCTCGTACTAGTTCTTTTTCTAATTTCTTTGGTCTGGGTCAGAAGTACGATCTTGTCCCATCCCCTATCCAACTACCATCTATCGTCGCCATAGTCCGTTTTTTTTTAAGTTTCCCTAATTTTTCTTTTTCCGAAGGGTAGAATCGAAATAGTACTTTAAGAATATTACAGACGAATAAAACCAATGAAACAAATTAAATCAATCTTATATGGAAATTTTTGTTGAAAAATTTGGAGCCGTTTAAAAAAAATATCGTTTAAGTAAATGCGGTAATTTGAAGTTCTTTTTCACGGAAACCTTTTGTGTTTTCGAGCAACTTTATTGGAAGTGACTTGAAGACTTACACATTTTGTTCGCGGTATTCTCTAGAACTCTTTCAAATTAAGTTCCAAATCAACACAACGTGCATAGAGGAGTTACTCTAGGAAGGGACCAGTTTGACAGGTGTGGAAACCAATGAAGGTCCTGCAGGGCGATAACATTGCAACATATAGTGATGAATCCATTTACAAATGGACTGTAAACAAACGCATGGACGAATTGAATGCTTGGGCGTAACTTATGTTGGCAGCAGTGGCCAAGCAGTAGCTGTCAAAGCGATCCCTTCTCAAAGTAATCTCTCTACTCCAACATCTCCTTTATTGCTACTTTAAATGCAATTTTTAGAGAACATAGAGCTCAAAATATCGCCCCCCCCCCGTTTGTAGCAATATAACAAGGCAACTGTCGCAAAGAGTTGAGGCTGCGAAATATTACTTGGATGAATAGGGAGAGTATTAACAAAAATTGCAACGAACATCGCATTCTGTGTTCTCGTCAGACGAGAGAGTTCTGGAAAGAAGCGACACATAATTGGCAAAGATTATTACTTTGCCGAAAGAATCAATAAGTATTGAAGATATTATCATGGTGATCTTTCTGGACAAAAATTGACGTTCTCCTTAAGAATTTCACGCTTGGAGCTTATGGACACCGCGTAGTAGGTTCAAGTTACTTTTTCTATAGAAGGGAATCAGCAACTTAATGTTGAATTAATGGGATGAAATTTTTATTTTTAGATTTTATTATTATTATTATTATTATTATTATTATTATTATTATTATTATAACTGTTATTATTATTATTATTATTATGTTCGCGAATTGGTCATCATTGGATCACGTGGACATGAAGTTGTATTTTTCCGGGGGTAGGTGCGCGTGCCTTCATTGGAGGGGGAGGATCAGGATTTATAGGCTGAATCCCATTTTTTACACCCCGGGGTTGTTAGCCCTGGGGGATGAGGTATGGAATGATGATGTTGAAGGGTAAATGGACAATAACAAACATACAGACACAGAAATATCCATGCCCAGGGAGGGACTCGAACCCATAGGTTTTTATTTTTATTATTATTTTTAAGTTTTTATTATGTTTTTAGGTTTTTATTATTTTATTTTTAAATTTTATTATTTTTATTATAATTGTTTTTCATCTCATCGTTTTTCTGGTTTTGTTTTAAAGTCACATCAAATATAGATCATTAACGAACAATATTGGCTTTAACGTTATGGTAACTGTGAGGATGACATGATAATTGGGGGTGAAAGGACGAACACAATACAACCATGCCGGAGGCGGGACTCGAGCCCGCGATCGTTCGGTCCTGGAATGCTACGGTACTGTCTCGGCCATCCGGACAGGTTTTATTATTTTTTTGGTGGGTATTTTTATTATTATTTTTAGGTTTTTATAATTTTTTAGGTTTTTATAAGTTGTTTATGTTTTTATTACTTTTTTAGGTTTTTATTATTTTTTTAGGTTTTAATTTTTATTTTTTTAAGGTTTTTATTATTTTTTAGGTTTTTATTTTTATTATTTTTTTAGGTTTTTATTTTTATTATTTTTTAGTTTTTTTATTTTTATTATTTTTAGGTTTTTATTTTTATTGTTTTTTAGGTTTTATTTTTATTATTTTTAGGTATTTTTTATTTTTATGTTTTTATTATTATTATTTTTGTTATGTTTATTATTGTGATTGTTGTTATGTTCAATGGCTCCTCCCCTCGCTGGGTGTTGCGCAACGTCCTCTGCCTTCCGCTGGGCGGGCGCTGGGTGTTGCGCAACCGCCGAGGGCCCGGCAGCGCCCCTCGCGTCCTCTCGGCTGACCCTCGTTGCGGGCGGCGCTTCCCGGACGCGGAGGATTTCCCGCCGCACGCGCGCAGCAATTGAATGACGTCCCTGCGGGACTCCACACGAAAACGTTTAGCCTCGTGTGGCCTTCTCTCGCAGCGAGGCCAGCGGCCGATTGGGCTCAGAGCTAGGGATACCGTTGTCCCACTGGCGAATCTGGTCCACGGGTTGGTTCGTTGATGCCTGTTAATGCCTGTTAGTTATTTCGTTAATACTCTTACGTGGCGACAGACTCGGGCCATCAGACCCGCTCTTCCGTCTGTGCCCGCAAACATCGCTACGCTCCTTTCACCGACTAGCGAGGTTTTATATCGGGCGACGGTCATTTTGAATTTAGCTTAAAGGGTTTATTTTAGGCTTGAGGATCTTTTACATGTAATTATTTTTTTTACACGGACATTTCAATTACAGTAAATCTACTACAAGGGACAGCGATTTTACTTCTCCGAAGGCGAACGAAGGATTCTCTCCCTTAAAAATTCACGGTTTTGATTGGGTTTGAACCTGCAAACTAGGGTACAACCCAAGCCAGATAGCACCGACTAAACCACCGAACTCCCAAAGAAAAGGTAGCTGGGTTCGGGTCCCGATTGTGATGGATTTTCGACACGATCTACAGTGTACCAGGAAAGTCTCTCCTCTGTGGAACCTTGCTAGTGAGAGTGTTATCTACAGAAATTATGTTGGTAGCATGAACTGCAGCTTGTAAAAAGTAAATCATCACTAAAGACCGGAAAAATATGTAGTATGAAACGTCAAAATATGTAATTAAAACAGTAAGAATATGTAAATAAATATGTAAAATCGGATGTAATATGTAATAATAAATTACACCTACGATAAAACATATTTGCAAAATACGAAATTATTCTCCAATAAAGCAACAATTTTCTCTACTATAATACAATCTTCATTCTTCTGTATACACAACTACATTTTACTTTACTAATTCTTTATATGGTTATAATATTTCGATAATTATAAGGTCCTAGTTCAACCTCCTCCTCGGTTTTTTAAAATTAAAGAAAATGTGTCCAACATTATGTCAACAATATTAAGTTCTTTGCGGCTCCGTTCGCCAGTTACGACTTCTTTCAGTTCGTTTTGAGTTTTTGCTGACGTCTCAGCAGCCGGACTTTTCCTCCCATTCCCTTCAGCACTGTATCATTACGACCTTAATGACAAAGAACCGAGAGATGTGGCCGAGGGCATCAACTGACGTCACTGCAATGTCTTTCACCGGGAGGTCCTAGGGGTCGAGTTGAGGCGGTTGAAGGGATTTCGCCACTAGCTATGTCGATTTCATTCGCTTCGGGAGGAGAACTCTAGCGACTGATAGTTCTCCGCGGTTTCTCCGATCAATTTCCGGCGGAAGTCGGAGCATTACCCTCGCGCGATATTTCCTTCCTCTGCCTTGACCTATCCTCAACCGTACACACACTTACATGCGGTACACTACCCCACATGTCGGGAGATTGGTCGGGGGCTTAGAGCTTGTGCCGGCGGGGGTGGGGCCTCGCTGGTGGGAGACACCTGGTTGGGGAAAACCCCACCAGCCGACAGGAAGGCCGGATCTCACCATCCAGTGGATAAAGATCTCAGCCACCTCCCGAGGGAAAACATGCACTACATTTACGGGTACAATGACCTTAACCGTTTTCGCGCCCGAACTCCATAATCAATGAAAGAAATCATGTCAAAGTCGTTGCAGCCATGGCGGCAATGCCATCTCGGAAAGAACTCCGCATGTATGTTCTTGAAGAATACGAAGTTTAGGACACGAAGGAGAGAACCCAGGCGTTCTTCGTGGTTGTGTTGGCTACAGATGGCTACCCATGCGATGACCGTCATTACTTAATATAACCGCCTTGACAACAGCTCATTTCATCCTACGTAATTTCGAAATACGCGCTGACCATAAACGGTAGTTTTGATCGAAATCCAATCGCATCGAGGACTATGTTTAGGAATTTTTTGCATGACGATGCGTTAAAACAATCGACAGGAATATCCATCTTCTGGATGTGAATGTTGATGTGTGTAAGGAAGGGATGAGGATAGGGCAAGGAAGACGACGGAAAGATCGTGCGCCCGTTTGAGTGAGTACTGCTCCGGTATTCCCGTGGTGTTGATGAATTCGACCTAGGTGTTTAGCTCGTGTGGTACATCTGGCACATAACTACGTAATACGTGGTTCAAATATAAATAGTATATTTATTATAACATTTTATTGAAATATATTTTTTAAACGAAAACAATATTAAATTTGAATATTCGCTCCTTCTAGACCGATGCATTATTGCCATCTTCTTGGGAGTTTATAAATGGTCTCAGAATAAAAGTTTTTCGGTTTTGTGCGCAGCCAGTTTTGCACACGTTTTGAACTTCCTTGTCGTTTTCAAATCTGATATCTTCTAGAACTTTTTAAAAGGCCCATTGAATATGAAAATTACTGGACGATAAGTCTGGACTACATGGAGAGTGTGTACGTAAGCTTCCGCGGCTCGAATCCATGAATTCTCGGCTATCCGGGACGGATTTTCCACAGCATTTTTGTCAATGAAGCCGTATGTAGCCGTGCTTATAATAAGAAAACACGAAATACTAGTGGATGGAGGTTAGTCTTACATTTTCAGAATTAGTTGGATAATTAAGAAGAGTCACCTGTTAACTGTCGATGAGTCAACATTACATGACTTCGCCTCTATGAAGAGGTTTGAATCATTTCCACATGGGAGATTCCCGGCATCTTACAACTTCCGCAATTGAGCAGGGAGCGATACAACTCCCAAATGCCCAATCCGAATCAGTTGGCATGGAGTTTCCTTCTAGGTTTTCCTTCAGCACTCTTTATAATCACGACGATCATAAACCATTGCGCTGATCGCACAATAGATATTTACGTCACTATTCCGGAAGTCATTTACGACTAAAAGTAAGCTGCTTCCGGTCGAGGCAGAACTCCAAATTTCGAATCGTTTCCTATCATAACGACTTTACGGAAATGTGATGTGCGACTTTGAAGTTTTTCGTATACCCTCATATATCTGTTATGTTCAGAAATAAACAGGAATAACAAATAGCATTCGTTTTCTTGACATGGGTTAACAATATTCAAAATCCAAATCGTACCACCACAAGCCTGTTCAATAAATGCAAAGAATAAAATCCCGATCCAAAGGACAGAGTAGTAGATGTCACTAAGGCCAACAGAGTTCACAAAATCTTCGAGAGAATAAATAATACTCAGAACAAGTAATCCACAAATAATACACAGCAATGTATGGGAAAACATCGATGTCAGCTCAAGTGGACTCGTTCAGATATTATGGCATGCAGATTCGCACGGTATTTTCTCGTCAGCGGCCATCGTAAGCAATTGGACAGAACACCCGGCAAAAACACGAACCAAATCATGAAAGTTGTATGGTGGTGTTTCGTTCAAACGGATTGGAAGAATGGAGAATCTATCTACACTATGTGATCAAAAGTATCCGGACACGTCCAAAATGAAGTTATGGTTGGTCGTGTTTTTTATGGAGGAGGCTTGCACCCTTTGTTATTTTGTGAGATACTATCACGACACAGGCCTACGTAGCTGTTTTAAACACCGTGCATCCCACTGTTGAAGAGCAATCCGGGGATTTAGATTGATCCCCGGGACTGTTTTGGGCTACAGTTAGGAACACGACAGAATAACCTGAAACTTTATTTATTTGATAAATCATATTTATTTTAACTCAACTTCAATTATGCTAACAGTGTATCATTTTTTATCTTTTATATTTAACAGTATTATACAAGATTGTACGATATATACAAAAATAATTTTATTTTAAAAGCGTATTGATTTATAAATTCGTCTCGTATTTCTTCAAAGCGAAACTGTCAGTCATGGGCACCAAAGAATGGCAAAGTCTTAACAAAATGTCTTTTCACAATGCGAGTTCTTTAACTAAATAACACTAAGCAACGTTTTCATTTTTGTAAGGCGTGTCGTCCGCTTCTTCTCAACAATAACGACCATTTTTCTTCAGGGACACTGTAATTTCAGACACAACCTGCTTTTAAGAACCATATGGTCGTGTTTTGTGCCTGTGAACAGAGGAGGAACAGGTGATTAAAGTCAAACACACATTTTTAAGTGGTAAAATTAAATCTATTTTCTCTCATTAGTGTAAATGTTTCGACGGTAATTTATATAAATAGACTTCATTAAAAACAATTATATAAACGTAACAATGAAAACGCCCTTAAATCATTACAAGTTTCTATATCTGGTATTATTTAAGTTTATAAACAAAACAATGCCCTTAAATCATTATAAGTCTGTGAAGATATGATAGTAAATATAGAAATGATTTATGGACGTGTTAATTGTTATGTTTATATCATTAATTTTAAAAAAGTAGTTTATATAAATAGTGATTAAAACCATTATATTACAAGAATACCAGGTGTCAATGAAAAATGATATCCTCTCATTAATTTAAAAGGAACACTTTTCAACTTTAAGTTACCACTGGTCAACAGCATTTTCATACCAAAGAATGTCAATTGTTTTCTTTGCTAAGACTTGGGCACTGAATTCGAATACGAAATCAGATTGTGGCTGTCAGGCTCAGTTTTCTTGTTACATGCTACTCTCTATTTACGGAAATTCTCGAAAAAACACTGCTTCACTGATCACTCGAAATACTGGTTATTTTGCTGTAGCTTGATTTCATTATTCTGCAGATATAATTGTTCTGGAACAATGGAAATGTGTACAAGGAATGACTATACATATCACTGAATTCAGAAAAGTCACCTCTAGGAAATAAATATGTTTGCCAACATTGCTGATAAATCAATCTCGAACAGGTAGAATCGCACTATGTTTTTTGCTTCCTTAAGTTGCCTCCTATGTTTTTTGCAACTTTTCAAGCTTCCTATGGATCAAATAAACCACGCTTTTTTGGGGAATCTCATCAACTTTGTTTGCGATTTGCCGAAGCGTCAATTTAAGCTTTTGGCTTCACGACTGAAAGTATGGTAACTTCTTTCTCCCTGTAAGACAGTGTTTTGTGATCGCCAAGTAGTTTTTTTTAAATATTTCTCCAAGAAAAAAGACTTAGCTTTTTGTAATGATATCGAACCCGTTATGGAGACTCTTGGCCATGATTGCAATGGAACTGAATGGGGCTTGTTCATAGATTATAGCAAAATAAGCTTTAAAGCAGTTCTTACTTCTCCACAATGGGAACAATTTTCTTGAGTTCTGATTGTTCATGAGTTAATTTCGTAGCAGACATATGGGAATCTTAAACTGCTCCTCACACTCATCAATTATGAGAAATTTTAGTGGAATATTTGAGGATATCTCGAGATCTCGGCATGCAGCTTGGGTATACAAAGCACTGATGCATTTGATGTCAATGGGACAGTAGGGACAGAAAAAATCACTATGCTGGGGAAAAATGGCCTGCTCACATTGAACTACTGCCTGTACAGAGAAGTGTGGGAAACATGATCCCAAAAAATGTGGACGTGCTACCACTGGACATTAAATTGGGTTTCGTTGAATACTTTGGGAAAACCATTAACAAAAGATCATGTGAGTTCATGTATTTACGAAAGATGTACCCAAGGATCAGTGAAAGAGTATTTGTAGACCATAAATTAAAAAATTAATAGCTTATTAAAATTTATTTGATTTGTTGAGTAATGTTGAAAGAAAGACATGTCTTTCACAAGCGTCTAAACATTTTATGCAACCATAAGGCAGAGAACTATCGCGATATTGTACATAAACTATTGAGATCATACCACCGAACGGGATGTAACATGTCACTTAAGCTACATTTTTTGAATAATCATTTGAACGTCTTCCCAGATAACCTCGGCGCCGTTACTGATGAACATGGCGAACGATTCGACCAGAACATTTCCCAAATGGAACAGCGTTATCAAGGCAATTAGTGGTGCAATGTCCGACTACTGCTGGACCTTACGACGGGACGTATCTGAGGCAAAGTATCGCAAGAAATAGGGAAGCTAATATTTTTAGTCATGTTTCTTCGCTTTTCTTAACACGTATTTTGTATTTTTTTACTCTATATATTTGGATATGTTGTCATTAGAGCGTGACATTTTGCCAGATACATATACATGGTGAGGCATACACATTTACAAAAACGAACATCACGTGAAAACTGAGGCCGATACAGAAATCCTGAAATTAGATCTGGATTCAAGGGGCAAATTATCTTCTAGAAACAGCAGGATTTAGTATTGTTACATAAAAACATTTTTTTAGACTAGTGTAATTTGATGTCAAATCTCATTTTATTAAAATTTTCCTCCTGTCTCCGAATTATATAAAATCACAAAAATATCATTACGTAAAGAAATAATTATAATTATAATGACTAGTCGTTTTTTAGCTTCCATACAGTAGAAAACTGATTATGACGGCTAAGCCATGGAAAGCTGCTATTGAAATAAATGATATAGTTGACAATGGCAACTACTGTAATTATTTGATTTTAAATGCCAACGACAACTCATCACAAAACCATAACCATTCCGAATAAGAGAACAGTATTTGCATGAAAGGAAGAAAGTCACAGTATACAAGTAGGTGCAGTTTTCATTGTTTGGAAAATAAGCCAGAGCTTTTACTTTTCCTTCCTATACGTGAAATGAATTGATAAATGAATGGATGAATGGATGACTGGATGGATGGAAGAAGGAATGGATGGATGGATGGATAGATGACTGTATGAATGACTGTATGAATGAC